TCCATCTGTTGGAGAGTAATAATCGATATCTTAATAATGAGTTTCCTTATTTACATACACATTTCATTTTCTTATAATTATAAATTATAGTAACACACTAATGTCGTAAACCGAAAATATGAGTAACAAAGTTAAGATACTTTACAGTTTACAGATTAACTTGGTTTAACTTGGTCGTTCATTGTTACAAAAGATATGGTTAAATGAAGTTTATTTAAAAGTACATAATCTGCATTATTTAACGAAATACATGCTACCAAAATTTACACGCACACATACAATGTACAAGATGCCAGCGTCACCCCCCTCGTCGTGCACATCGGGTAACGTCAATGTCGACGGTGGCATTGGTGGTATGGTGCTTTAACATTGCGAAGACAAATCGCATCAACGTTTCATTTTTTTCAAATTAAAAGGACATGTTAAAGTTTTACTCGGCTAAAAAAATTTTACTAAATCCGTGCATTACGTCAAACTTGGCAATTTTCAATATGCCAAACAGGACCTAACATTTAATGGGTCACAGTGGCAAGGGTGCGTCAAGCTCAAAATTCGGAAACATTGTCTCAAAGTAAAGTTTTCAAGCTTTAATGTAGAAACAAAGTCATCATCCTACGATGATTCTTCGTGAAGTTATCGTCAGTCAAATTTGATCAATATTTATTCAAAAGCGAAACTAAGACTAAACTTTTATTTCAGCGGAACTAAAGAAAAAGACAGACAGAACGATGAATAAAAAAGTTAACGAGCATAACTGTCTAGTTTCCGATACAATTTCATTCCCTCCGTCGCCAGGCGAGCTGTAGTTGCCAACAAACAACAACAATTAGTATAGGAATCGTGTCATTGTCGTTCGGTGCGTGTTACTAACCCGTTGAAAAAAACTGGAGAATTACCGCACAGTCTTCCTGGAATGGAAGTAAGTAAGAGCAGTAACTAAAGAAGCAACCCTGCGATAAGTTGCTTGGCGAATGTCCGCTGACATAATTAATTTATACGCAACGAGGCTTCAACAGTTTCCTGTAAGTTCCATGGTGCAACATCTTCAGCCGATTATATACTTCGTTTACAACATACTTCCACTTCTACCGAGGATAAACCAGTTTATTATATTTCATTCGAACGAGGGTAGTCGGCTTCGAAGTAGCTACTTGAAACTAGCACAGCGACCATCTTTGGACTCTCCGGAACAAGGTGACGCAGTTTAATCACAAGTTTCGAATTCGAAATCGTGTTAGAAAATGGTTCATACGGGAAAAAAGCCGCCGAACCGTGCTACTTTCTGCAGATATTTTTCAATCCACGTTCAAACACTGAAAAAACCTCCTATCGGCGTGTCATAGGCTACACCGACGAGATCGACTTCGCAGCTGCGGTTTGGTGTCCGCTGCCCGTTCTCCTGCGAAACGCTGACATTTCTGACAACCGAACCTTCCGCTGCCGACGACCGATTGCACCGTGCTCGAGCCCTTTGCCAGCTCGCACGACCGTTCACGTGTCCAGGTAAATGTTCACCGATCGACAGGGTGCCGCGAGCCGCAGGTAAGCGGACTCCATTTTGGAGCGATCGCGAAACTGGGAGAGAGAAGAAATTTTGCTACGGGTGGGCGAAGTCGTCGTCTCTCCGCGCGGCCGCCTTCGACTTCGACGCGATTCCAACGCGTGTTTCGTCGGCTTCTCGAGCCGGCTCCGAGGAATTCTGTTTTTCGAAAAACGCCGATTGCGATCGTCCGCGGCGCAACTTCCTCGGCCGTTTCGGCTTCGTTTCGAGAAGCAGCCGTCTCGGGAAAATGCGACACCCGTTTTCGGTACCATTCCGTTTCTCGACATTTTCGCGCACCGACGACCGGGCACTTTGGCTCTCGCTTAGATAAGAAGTTGAGAACACCGTGGCCGATTTTTCGATCGCGTGCAGCGTGATCTCTCGATCAAACTATCTGTTCGCGAATCTCGGCGCAGCCGCGTCGAGGAAAAATGATATCGAAACTT